TGCATACAAAAATACAAACCTTACCTCTTTATAATATTAATATAGATTAATATTAAAATGGATATAGAAGTATAGATTTAGTAAACTATTTGTAAAGCGTTAATTCGTAGATTACGGTTCGAAGGAGGGTGAGGGCTGGGGTGGTCCCAGAGGAACTCGGTCAGGGTCCGTTATCGTACCGAAGCAGTTGTCCCGTCTTCAAACGGTACTCTTTGCCATGAATACTGACACATGAACATTATTAACATGAACATATTTTAAGATTCATCTTTGGATTAAAAAAAATCGACTTAAACTGTACCTATTTCTCTCTTTTGTTAATTTCCAACAATAAAGACCGAAATTTGGTATATCACCTTACATCTTAATTTTACTGATATTATAAATGCTTATATTTAGATAGATGGATTGATAGCAGTTTTAAAATCTGTAACCATGTCTACATAAATTATTGCCTGGAATAGCCTTCGATAAAAATTAACATATAACCCAACACCTCCTACCATCTCCAAATATTATTCATCGAAGGGAATAGTTCTTAAGTTGTTTATTTTTGAAAATTCTAGAGGAACAAGGCGAAGACGCGGGCAAAGCCTAGTGATTAATAAATCTGTTCTATGTGGTAACATTTATATCTTATCCCAATTTAAAAGCTATCAATACCGGGATAAAGAGCTCATCAAACCACAGCAACTATTGGGAGAGAAAGATAAATATTTTAATGAACTCTATTTACCCAGAACAAATGAAATATTAAATTCGAATGACAGATTTCCCAAAAGGGGATTCTATTTAAAAACCGCATACTAAATCATTACTGGTGAATAAAAAGCATAAACGACTGTGAAAATGTTAAATATTCAAATGAATTTTTATCTTAAGCCGTCGGCTTAAGGTATGAATTTGTATGACACAGTTGACGTTTTAATACTCTGGATGAAATGTTATGTTGGCGGGAAAAATTGTAAAACGTTGACAGTGCTGAGCGGCGTGATAACATTGTCGGCTTTGTGGGTGTTGACTAGGGTTGGTGAATAACCAAATAAAGTATTAAATTTTACCATTTTCTTTCAGAAATTACTTCCTTTAATACATTTACAACTGTTAAATCAAACCTTTTTGTAATATTCACAACTCTGTTTTTTACTCCTTTTAATATGACACTTATATATTCGACGTCTATCTCGCAATAGAATAAAATGTCCTTAATATTACTTTTTACTATCGTTTAATTTAAATCCACAACAACAACAATGACACAAAAAATTCTTAAGGGAAGTGAAAGATAAATTAGTTCCTCGTGAATGTAAAGTTTTATATTTTATATCTCTTAAGTCTATTAGGGATATTTTCCTAATATTGTAGTTTCTTTTAATATACTTTCCAAAAAGCAAAATTTATCAAAGTTAGCCCAAAGGAAGGTCCTAAAAAAATTAAAACGATAAGATGCAGCCCTATCATCCAGAGCCTGTGCCTGACTGATGTTGAATGGAAAAATTAAAAAAAATATGTGAGATCCATATTGGCCCCACAAGTTCAATTAACTCTAGAGCCGGGCTTGCGGCTTCGCATTGTGACAGTATCAATTCAACCGTAATTATTTTACCCTTTCGTTTTACACATGAGTTAATCGGTTTTTATTTTTACATTTCAATAAGTATGGAATACTTTTTAATTTAATGATCGTCATTTAATTGGATAACGGGTAAATACTATAATTAAACTGTACGTGATGAAACCGATAAAGTTTTTCGGTAAAAAATTACAGGTTTAGGATTTAAGGTGGCTAAATAATGAATTAACGAGTAATCGAAAGATAGCATCATCATGTTATACAATACATGTCATATTTTTTCAGGAATATTGAAAGTATAAAAAAATGACATTCGCCGGTGTAGTTTCCGCTCCTCCATTGGTCAAAATATTACTCTTTCAACGTGACTAACAAATAAATAATTTATTAATAATGAATATTTTTTGTATAATAGTTGTTTATGAATGAAATTCAGTAATGTTTGTCTTAAAATTCACAACTGATATAGACTTACAGGGATCTTAAGACAGTTTTTTTACATTGACAGGGTGTGCTGCTAGTTTTTACATCGACCAGTAAGCAAGCAATTGCCGACTTTTGTGAAAATTGTGTGGTGATTTTAATTGCAACCCAAAAAGTGTAAATGTGCATCCATCGATTCCAAAAATCGGTAATCAAAAATCTAACCGGTTTTAGTAACATCCCTACGCAATACGAAATGTCAAATGAATTGTCAAACTTATGATAGCTTATCATCATTCTTTAGAAACATTAAAAGAAGAAGATCATTATTTAGATACTATTCTGATTTTCAATTTCCAATGCAAAATCGATAATCCTTACAAAGTTTTATTTTTCTTCCGGTACAATTAAGTTGTTTTAATAAAAATGAATGAGAAACAATCAAAGCAACCAAATAGAAAGAATAATAAAAAGGATAAAGGCAACAAAGTAAAAGAGACATATCCTAGCATACAAATAATAGTAAGTAGAAATACTACGTCTAATATTTTAGTAACAAGTGCATTTAGCCGTTCTGGAGTTTCGTGATGACAAGCGTATAAAAATAAGCTATACAACGGCGGATCTAGGGGTGGGGTCGTGACCCCCCCCCCTGGGTTGGTTGGTCAAGAGATTGACAAAATATATTTACATAATTTGTCAAGCTCTTGACTTGACCACGACTATGTGAACCCCCCTGGCGCCAAAGCTGGATCTGGTGCCGCTAGGGGTATGAAGACCATCTGTCTGTCCTAGAGAATTGAAAAATGTAAAATAGATCAAAAACTATTTATATATATTACTCCCTGGGGCCTAACTTATACATAACATGTTAATTTTCAGATTCATGTGTTTTTTACCTGTTTGTTTTGTCTGTCGTTGCCATCAAGCTATTACATATACAAATTTATGTTTGAACATCCTGAATTACCGAAAGTTGATATGAACGAGTACTGGGGACAATATCCAATGGAACTTGAACCAGATTTATCAATAAGACATTTTAAAATTGAGTTCTCGGATGTTGTAAGTATATCTATCATACTAATATTATAAATGTGAAAGTTTAGATGGATGGATGTCTGTTAGCGTTTGTAGCCTAAACAGCTGAACAGATTTTAAAGAGATTTGGTGTAGATGTAGAGGAAAGTCTGGAAGAACACACAGGCTACTCACTTTTGTTTTTTTTAATTCCACGTGGACGTAGTCGCGAGCGAAAGCTAGTACTGATATAAAGGGGAAAGATTTATATTTTTGTATGTATTGAAATAACTCAGTCACTACTGGACCAGTTTCAAAAATTCATTCACCATTAAAAAGCTACATTATCAGTGAGTAATGTAGGCTATACTTTATCATTATTTTTTATTTCACACAGACAAAGTCATGAGTAACAGCTAGTTTGCGATGCATTAATTTTGTAGAAATAATTTGATTGACAACTTTAATGCAGAATGCATTTATGACAATTATTTCTTGAATAATTTTTAAAATAACGGTTTTCAGATAAGATTCCATAATAAAAGATATCGAAAAACAGAAATTAACAATTGTTATTTTAAATATTTCAGATGATTCATGACCTTAGAGAGAGACTTCTCCATCGCAGACCGTTTGTACCACCTTTAGAGAATGCTGGCTTTACCTACGGCTTCAACACACACTTTCTGACTAAATTACTGGACTATTGGCAGAATAAATACAATTTCAAAGAGAGGGAACAATTCTTTAATAAATACAATCATTACAAAACAAATATCCAAGGGCTGGATATCCACTACATACATGTTAAACCAAAAGTCACTGATAACATTACTGTAAGTATGACAATCTTTTGTAGAAACAACTAAAGCACTACAAAACTAGATTCATTACTTTGGAATTGTTAAAATCTCTTATCTAGTATCGTTTTGGGCCAATTCTTGGATATTAAAGGCCTGTCCCACCACTGGCAGATAGAGGCTCGGATAGCTTAAAAATGATGTCACAGATAAAGTAACAAAGTCCAATATTTTCATCACATATTTTACATGTTAGATTGTTATCAGACAATTTACAATTTGGTGGGACAGGCCCTTAATCTGTCATAAGTTAAAATTTTATCTTATTTAGATGTGTTTGGTGATCTAAACAGATTAACCATCAGTCTACAAGGTGTGAAAATCTATACTACCCCTTACTTCAATAGTGTTTAGTGTCAACCACTAATAAAAAAATCTACTGAACTGGTTTATTTCATATCCAAAAATATGATTTACAAGAAAAATCAATTTATTTGCTATGAAAAACTGCATTGAACTGGTTAAGACTTAAATAATAGTTAAATTGTTCTGGGAGGTTATTGCTGTAATTTAATACTGTCAGTCAAATTTAATAATTAAATTTTTTTATTTAAGACCTAGTATGTTTATAAACCAGGTAAGTTTTAAATAAATTAGTATTGCATACCATTTGATGTTAAGTAGAAGTGTTACAATAATGGTAAGCACAAGCAACAATAAGATTTAGTACATGTGTTTACTGGCTTGTTCAAGGGCGGATCCAGCTTTGGCGTCAGAGGGGGGTCACATAGTCATGTTCTATGAGGTTAAGTAAATATGTAAATATATTTTGTCAAGCTCTTGACCAACCAGCTCAGGGGGGGTCATGACCCCTATCAGCCCCCTCCCTCTGGATCCGCTGTTGTGCTTTTTCCCTCTACTGCATCCACACTAAAAACAGCTGTTAAATGAAAGAAATTCCACATATAGTCTGATGATGTTTTAGAGACCTAATTTTAATGCCCTTTCCTTTTCCACCTTTTTTTAAGAAAGGATGGGGAGGGAAAGTTTGATTGGTGGGGTATTATAGAACGGGAAATATCTCTTTCTGGGAGTTACCTCTTTATTCCGGTGTTTTCCTTGGATATCCCGGAACCTTCGACAATGTCACTAGAAGATGGCCACCGAGGGGATTTTAGTAGGTCAAATCCTACATAACCCTGCCTTTCCCCTAGAAGGCAAGGTATCTTTTGAAGATTTCCCCCCCGATACCAAAAAAAAAGGAGTTACCTCTTTAGATTAAGGGTAGGAAATGCTTTTGAATCTGTGAGCAATGATACCTTAGTTATTTCCGCGAAAAAGTGTAGGACCTACCTTGTTTGCCATTTTATGAAATGAAAAATGTCACTATTTTATTTATTTGGTTTAAAAATTGTTCCAGGTGGTACCTTTGTTAATGATGCACGGTTGGCCCGGCTCTGTACGTGAATTCTATGAGTTAATACCGAAATTAACAACACCTGTCCCCGAATATGACTTTGTTTTTGAATTAATCATACCTAGTATGCCTGGTTTTGGATTTTCACAAGTAAGTACTAACATTTTAATAAAAAGAAATTATATAGACATGAAAATATCTTTTCTTACTAATATTATAAATGCAAAAGTTTAGATGGATGGATGTTTGTTAGAGTTCGAAGCCTAAATGGCTTAACAGATCTGGATGAAATTTGGCATAGATGTAGAGCATAGTCTGGAAGAGCACAAAGGCTCCTTACTTTTGTTTTTTTTTTTAACTCAACTACTATAGAATATATGAATTTGTATACGTTTTTCCCTTGCCTTTGTTTGCCTTGAATTAAAAATAAAATTTGGTAAATAGTTCATATTTTTTTCAATGTTCTACATCTGTGTCACAAATTTTATCATTATCCAGAGATATTTTTTAACATCCATCCATCTATGCTTTTGTATTTATAATATTAATAAAATAGTTTTTTTTTCAGGACCAGTAGCCTTTTTAGGGTATAGATTAGTCTATTATCTATGTAACTGAATAAAATAACAGGATCTTCAAATAACTATTTCAGGCTGCTGTTCGTCCGGGATTAAGTACAAATAAGATGGCCATAGTGATGGCCAATCTAATGAAGAGAATTGGCCATAAGAAGTACTATGTGCAGGGAGGGGACATTGGCCACTCGGTGGGCTCGGCCATGGCCACTTTATTCCCAGATAAAGTATTAGGATTTCATACCAATTTCCCAACTGTTTTGTTTAATAAGATGGCTCAGGCTGGTATATTGTTAGGTAAGTTATTTTCAATATTATCTATACTATTACAATAAAGCGTAAACACACATCTTTGTTTCCTAAGATGTCAGCGATTACAGCATATTATTGAATAATTCTTTATTTTATATAAAGCCCTACATTTACGTCACGCTTTAGGATAAATTTTTTAGGGGGTAAATATTTTGGTTAAAAACCCTAATGTAGGAAAGAGACCATAAGTAGCTGCCAACATCAAGAAAGCAAAGTTGCCATCATCATGTCATTATGACATTTGCAATTAATAATTTGACACTTATAAACAATAAAATAAAATTTTCATAATTTTATGTGGATGAAGTCGTAAGGGAACAGCTAGTATTTAATATTAGCCTATTGGCTCATAGAAGAAAATGTTACGCATGTAATGTTTTTTATACTGGTCCATCATAATTTATACTAATACTAGCTGTTCCCGTGCGGCTTCATTCGCATGAAATTATGAAAATTTTATTTTATTGTTTACATTTGTCAAATTATCAATAGCAAATGTCAAAATGACATGACATCACAAACCTTAGCTTCTTTCTTCCTTAATGTTGGCAGCAACTTATAGTCTCTTTCCCACATTAGGGTTTTTATCCAAAATATTTACCCCCTAAGTTTAATGGCGTGAAAATATATAGCCTAAGACGTGACGCAAGTGTGCGGCTTTTTATTAAAAAAAATATTCAAAAATATGGTGTAATTGCTGACATGTTAGGCAACAAAGAAGTGTGTGTTTACGCTTTATTATAATAGTATAAATATAGATTACAAATGCATGTGTTTGGATGGATGGATGTTATTACGTATCTCCAAAACGGATTTTGCTGAGATTTATCAGTTTTTTTTTTCTAATATGTAGTGACATAAAGAATTTGTCGAAATAGCGAAACGACCGATGTACCTTTAGTCGATGGAGGGTATTTAAAAAGAGAAGGGGGAAATATCAAACCTAATTTCCCTTCCCATACTTCTCCCTTAATATTCTAAAGTATAGAAATGTTATTTAATTGTTTGAAAAGCTATTTTATCCTTCAGCTTCTTGGTGGCCCAGTTTGATAGTGGAAGAGGAGTTGTCCGGCAGGCTGTACCCGCTGCAGCAGCACGCGGCCAGGCTGCTGGAGGAGTCCGGCTATATGCACATCCAGGCTACTAAACCTGATACTATCGGTTTGTACATTTTTTTTATACAATAAGATAGCAAACGGCCACCTAAACCCGCCAAAATGGCGAAGCGACCGCTGCCCATAAACATCGCCAATTGCAGATGCGTTACCCACCCTAATTTGACGAAGGAGGAGACGCACATAAAAAAGATATTTCCCCTTCCTATTTGTCTCCATAACCGTCAAATCCACTCTCCCATCCAATCCTTTCCTTATAAGAAAAGGAGGGAAAGGGACTAAAATTGGGCGGCACCACACTCATCAGACTGTCCGCGGAATTACTTCCACTTCACGCCTGTCTTGTGTGGTGGTATTACTGGGGGCGAGCGAACCCAATCGAAGGTGTTAAAGCGGGCTCTACCACTGTTAAATTATTACATTTAATATCCTCCCCCATACACGACCATACACAAGAAAAACTTAATAAATATCAAAGAAATAGTTATTTTATAAGCATAAATTTAAATTACGTATCTTACAATCGGATTTTTCAGTTTTGTGAGTGTTAAAAACTTATTGTACTTAAACTATACTAATGTTGTAAAGAGAAACGATTTGTATTTTTGTATGTATTGAAATAACTTAAAAACTACTGAGCTGATTACTGTTACTGAGACAATTTTACTCCTTTGCTGCTATTGGCTTGTAGTTTTTGTCCCTTTCTAGTATAACGTTTTTTTCCAATTCATTCACCTCCTAAAATATATAACGTGAAAATATATAGCCTAAAGTATGTTGTGATTGTAGAGGTTTTTATGAAAGCAAGAATTATTAAATAATGTACTGTGATTGCTGACATCTTACGTAACAAAGAATTGTGTTTATTTTATTACTAGCCGTTGCTCGCGACTTCGCCCGCGTGTAAATAAAAAAATTATAAAAAAAAATCATCTATGTTACTCACAGATAAATTATGCTAATATTATAAATGCAAAAGTTTAGATGGATAGAAGTTTGTTAGAGTTTGTTGCCTAAACTGCTGAACGGATCTCGATAAAATTTGGCACAGATTTAGAACATATTCTGGAAGAACACATAGGCTACTTACTTGCGTTTTCTAATTCTACGCGGACGGAGTCATGTCATGTCAAAGAATTTTCGAAATCGGCCACGTAATTTAGAATACGTACAAAAATACAAATGATTCCTATTTATAATATTACATTTAAATATTTTATTATATTTTTATAGATAGATATAAAATTATACTTCTGGTTGTAATGTTTTCCCCCAGGTGCTGCATTAACCGATTCCCCGGCCGGCCTGGCCGCCTACATCCTAGAGAAATTCTCTACCTGGACCAACCCGAAGTACAAGATGGCAGGGGACGGGAACTTGCTGAATAAGTTCTCGCTGACGCAGCTGCTGGACAACGTGATGATGTACTGGGTCAGCAACTGCATCACCACCTCGCTCAGAACGTACGCAGAAACCCTGAATAAGAAAGAACTAAGCTTGAGGCTAGATGAGTAAGTATATATCTTACCTATTGTTTGTGATGCAATCAACTTTTTTATGTTTTTACTTTTTATACTTTTTTAAAATAAGAATTTATATTTTTTAAATTAATTCTATTTGTAAAATAATCCAATTAGTCTTCATTAAAATGTCACAACGTTTGCTACGCTGATTTGTACATAAATTCTTGCTAATTTTATTAAAAGTCGTTAGTTTGGGTAAAAAAATATAAATTATTTTAAAAAAGTATAAAAAGTAAAAACATAAAAAGGTTAATTGCATCGCCAACACCTAATGAAACTAGTTTTGCCTATGACTCGGTCCGCGTGTAATTTTAAAAAAATGTGAGTAGCTTATGTGTTCTTCCAGATTATCCTCTACATCTGTACTAAATTTCATCGAAATCCGTTCAACCATTTAGGCTACAAACTAACAAAAATCCATCCATCTAAACTTTCGCATTAAAATATTAATAAGTATGATTATTGTTATTGGAATGTCTATGTAATATCTAAAGAATAGTCCCATTCAATTTACGTTGATGATGACGGAACTCGCATTTAAAATTTTACTGTCCGTAAATCGCAAACTTTGTTACCGAGAAATTAAAAAAAAAGTCTAACATTCCTGCGAGTACCAGCTACCTTTCAGTCACAAAGTCAGTCTACCCTTTCCAGAGATAGCGATCGGTCAAAAATGTTGACAACACGGAATTTAAAAAAAGTAGCCTATAATATGCCTATCCATGTCAGCTACCCTCCAGTGAAAGTCTAGTAAAAATCGATCCATCCGTTTCGAACATTATCCGGAACAAACGGACAGACAAAAATAAATTTAATGCAATTTTCGTTATCAGCAATGCAAATGTATCTTTCCGAAATCAGGATATTTTTATCTCTCTCAATGAAATTTGCCATACATATAGAGGATAGACAAGAATAACACATACTTTAAAATTTTAACTCCACATAGACGAAGTCGCGTTAAAAGCTATATAATAAGAAGAAAATTAAGAACGTGCTGTAGAATTGGCCCAACACTAGATTATCTACGTCACGTTCCTAACTGACAGCTGTCAATGTCATTAAGAGAATAAGATATTCGCGCGGATTATTTGGTGGAGTGTTTAAATTAATATCGCTAGTTATAATTATATTAATTGTTTAAAAATAACATAACAGGATACCAACCTCTGTGCCGACTTGGGGCATAAAGTTCAAGCACGAGCTGGTGTTCCACCCGGACTGGGCGCTGCGCCTCAAGTACAAGAACTACCTGCACAGCACCCTGGTGGAGGAGGGCGGCCACTTCGCCGCGCTGGAGCTGCCCCACGTCCTGGCCGCAGACATCTACCAAGCTGTCCACACCTTCACCCACTTCCACGACCAACCGTAAGTCCAGACACATATAAGAAACAGACTAGACATCGATAGAAATCTCTATTTTTTGCTATATTTATATAAGTTACTAGCTTTCGTCCGCGACTCCGCCCGCATGGAATTAAAAAAAAACAAAAGTAAGTAGCCTATGTGTTCTTCAAGCCTTCATCCATACCAAATTTCATCAAAATCCGTTCAGCCGTTTATGCTACAAACTCTAACATACATCCATCTAAACTTTCACATTTATAATATTAGTATGATTAGTAAAAAAAAATAATTTATTTACAGCGATACAGAAGAAACAATCGAAGATTTAAATTACGAAAAAGCAACAACTGTATATGATTTCACTGTTAAAGATATTAACGGAAATAACGTCAAACTCGATAAATACAAAGGTCATGTACTTATTATAGTAAATGTCGCCTCAGAATGCGGTCTCACTGACACTAACTATAAAGAACTGAACGAATTATATGAAAAATATTCAAAAACTAAGAAATTGAGAATATTAGCTTTCCCTTGTAATCAATTTGCGGGACAAGAGCCCGGGAATAATGAGGATATTTTATCTTTTGTCAGAAATAGAGGGGTTAAATTCGATTTGTTTGAAAAAGTCGATGTGAACGGTGAGAATGCTCATCCGTTGTTCAAATTCCTAAAGAAAACACAAACGGGTACTTTCGGAGATTATATTAAATGGAATTTCAGTAAATTTATTATAGATAAAAATGGAATACCCGTTGAGAGGTTAGGTCCTAATGTAAACCCTATAAATTTGGAACCATTGTTGGCTAATTACTGGTAAATATCTGTATTAAAGATTTTAATATGTTAATTTGTGTAGTTTAATAAAATTTATTGTAATATAAAGAATTACGTGTACATAGATAGAGCAACTTTTAAAGAGTTTAATTACCAAAATGCCTCTTGTGAGCTGTTCACCCTAGGCCAGTACAGTTGGTCAGTAGCGCTCATATCTAGACTGACAATTAACTGGCACAAGTTAACGCTAACTGGCGCCAGTCCGTCGAAAATGTCCAACTGTACTCGCCTAGTGTAAACCACCCATTATTTCTACAATCATAACCTACAATTTAACGATTTTTACATTTTGTTTTATAATTTTCTTAATGTTTATTAGTATTTACTAATTACTGTAAATAAATATTAAATTTTTAGAAATGACTGTATATTTTGGTTTTCGTAATGTTTAAAATTTTGTTTTATATTCACATTTTAATCATATGATAGTTTACGGAATCATAAGAATAGTCCTCTCATATTTTTAAGATGAAATGAAAGAGATGACAATCTTTTTATGTAAATAAATCGTTATTGAAAACCTATCCTTAGATCTTTATTAGTATTGTAAGAAAATAAACCACAGACGGTTTGTTAATGTATCGTTTTGGACGTATCTCTCGTTGAAGTAGTAAATAAAAATATATACTCTACATTATTGTTGCGATCTCTTTTTACGCATTACATAATTGTACTTATAAATATTTAGGGGAAATAAGTGTAAATGATTTTAATAGGTGTCTATTTTATAGTGCTTGTATATCGTAGTCATTCTGAAGTTTGTTTTAATGACTTTTTACCTTTTTTTTAACATTCCTTTACCTTTATCTAGTTTTTTTTGCATTTATTGTTGGTGTTCTGTTACATTATTTATAATTAAATATAGTACATTAAATGTAAAATGTGTTTGTCCTCAATCAAATGTGTTATTCTATACTAATGGTATTAAAAAACCGAGCAGCTATTCTGTAACTTCGGTGGCTTATCCAGTTTTATCCAGATTGCCTTAGATGGCGTTAATCTTCGTTTGCTCGACATTGATCCAAAGCGGCGACATTGACAGTGACGTAGCAAATATATTAAAAGCGGGATGGATAAAATGGCTCACAGGAGTAATATGCGACCCTCAAATTCCACTTAAAGGGGAAAATTTACAAGGCCATCGTAAGAACTGTCATGATATATGAATCTGAATGTTGGGCAGTAAAAGGAACGGATGAAAGGAGACTGCGCAGAAATGTGAATGTTAAGATGGATGTGTGGGGTAACGCGAATGGATATGATACGAAATGAGTATATTAGAGGAAGTTAGAGTAGCCCCAGTGGTAGAGTAAGGAGTAAAAGGTTAGCATGGTATGGGCATTCTGTGAGAGATGAATCGCACGTTACAAGGAGAACGTTAGTTATGAGTGTAGAGGTACACCAGTAGAGGTAGACCTAGAAAGAGATGGATGGATTGCGTGAAAGGTGACATGATCAAGAAGGGAGTGATGACCTTATGACAGATGACGTATAATAGAGTTATGTGGAGGACAAAAACCTGTTGCGTAACTACGGGAGCAGGATAAGGAGGATGATGATATACTAATGTTATCAATGTTACCTTAGAGTGATGTCAAGGGTTCTAGGAGAAAAAAAAAGTTATTCACATGAAACATTTTATTATTTGTATCAAATTCAGCAAGTCTGTCTCTCGAGTCTCAGCTTGGAGAGATTCTGTATAGTGTTCCGGGAACCTGATTCACTCCACTGCAGCTCCGGGATGGCCATTATCAACTGTTAATAATATTCATTGTATTTTAATAAGCTCAGCATTATTATTATTAATAAAATGAAACTTCAAAAATGTGTTTCATTGAACACCTTTAACAATAAAGTTGAATTAAGATCAGAAAATACATAAAAAAGGCAGGAACATTCTAGAAAGGATGTGAATGGGATAAATAGTAGAATTATTCCTTTATTTCTTACTAGCTGTTGCTCGCGACTTCGCCCGCGTAAAATAAAAAAAATATAGCATATGTAACTTACTGATAGCTTATTAATGGTGAAAGAATTTTTGAATTCGGCCCAATAGTTTTTGAGTTATTACAATACATACCAATATTCTTTACTAGATTTGGTTGTTTCATCCAGACTATGTCCTATCTCTGACTTTAATTGAGATCTGTTAAGCCTTTTTTGAATATAGTAAAAAAACCTCCATCCATACATCTAAACTTTTGATTTTTCTGTTAGATCTAGTCTAAGTAATTAATCTTTTAGTTTAACTACATACACTAAACAACTTTTAAATAATATGTCTAATATTGATTTTCTAATGTCAAAAATCTATACTTACCTATTTTAAATACCTAAAATATTAAGTCAGGTTCCGCAGATAAATTCTTTTCTTCTGCACAATCTCAGGAAAATGATAAATAAAATATGGTTTTTATTAATATTTTTTTTATTAAACTTTGAAATACTTACTGTAAGATTCTTGAAACCGCACCAAAAGTAGTATTTGAAAAAAATTGTGTCACCAATACAATGAGAAATCAAATATATAAATACATATAAATCAACTAAATTATGTTATTGTACTACAAATATCAATATATATTTTCTACTATATTTAGGGCCTGTCCCACCACTGGCTGATAGTGACTCAGATAGCTAAAAAGTGATACTGTTAGATAAGGAAACCAAATCAGATATTTCCATCACATATTTTACATGTTGGATTATTATACAATTTACAAGAATTGTGGGACAGGCCCAATGTTCAATACATTATAAGTAACTGATTTACAATTTACTTCAAATATTACCTAATTACACATTAAGTAAAAGGCATGATTGGATTTTCCATACATTTCCATCAAAATAAAACTCGATAGATTAGAATATAGCTATGGTTTTACTATAGCAAGAGTTGTATTGACATTTTCAGATGCTTCGGAATCAGGTTCCTCCATATTCATGTAGTAATTTTTTAATGTTTCGAAGGGTAGGCACAGGTATGACCACTAACAAGTACCAAAGGAACAGATTACATTTTCTTCAATTTTTTTGCTGTATTTTCAGTAATTTCACTCTGTTTTGACACCTAATATGTCCCTGTTAATATCTAGGTAATAATGAAGTTTACTTCAACCCATTTCTTTATTACTTTTTAAACCAAGCATGCCAAATTATAGCTTAAATGTAATACAATTTGGTATGAGTAGTTTAGAACGAAAAAAATCGATTTAAGCCTTTTTACTCAAAGACCAATATGACAGAAATACTGGCGATACTCTCTTATAGAGTCAGAAGACTTATCACGAATATTAGTGAGAACGTAAACGTAACTTTATCGACAAAGTTTGTATAAGATGAATGGATCTAATACAAATGTTATCGATGATGTTTCGAAAACATTATCACAAATATTCATGATAGGCCCTTAGATATGATGCTTGAAATGTCAATACAAGTAACACTATCGAAATCCAAAGTTAATCCAACCATACCTTAATGTTTACAAACTCAAGGGATATCTTTAATAACCTCAGAGAGCTGTTCCCGAGTGAACATGTGGAACATTGCTCCAGGAGTCATTGTGACCACCTCCACATTGTTCTCCGACAGCTTCTCCTCCATCACCTGCTTCAGTATCGTCAGCGCTGACTTGATCGCCTCTTTCAATGTCATCGATTTGTGATACACTTCCTTTAAAATAAATTAAAACTTGAAACACATGTATTATACTGGCTTTCGCCCACGACAAATTAAAAAAAAAAAACACAAGGAAGTAGACTATGTGTTCTTCCAGAATATACTCTACATATAGATGTATGGTATATACCAAATATCAACAATTAGCAATTTAGGCTGCAAACTTTCGCTTTTATAATATTAGCAAGATTAATACAGATTCTTTTGATATTTTAATTAAAAAAAAGTAAAATGGGTTTGGATATATCTAGTTTAATGGATTTATGAAGCAACTTTAACATACTTGTTGCCAGAGATAAGGTTTAAGTTAAGGGTAAGGATGTTGTAGAGAAATTTCACCTTAGATACAATGTTGATAAGTTAAAGTCCAAGGGAAACAAAAAATATTTTAAGTTATAGAGGTTTTAAGTTATCAAGACTATGTTTTAGAGGTTTTGGGCTTTGATAGGAAGGGAAGATATTATTTTTTGAATTTATAGAGGTTACCGAGGTTTGAGTTATTGAGGTTCTACTGTATTTAATTTCGGATAAAAACTAATAAATCAAAAATTCTTAACAAATTTCATGTCTGCAATTTTCATGGACATGAACATGAGTTATGGAAAAAAAATGCATAAGTTAAAAATTATTATGAAATGTTAGCAGTAGTATATTATATATAGTTATATATTTTTTTTTATCTTTATAATTTAAACAATATATAAATGTTACCTTTAAGCTCTGCTGTGCCCCTTCACTTCCGGAGCCTATAGCTTTAGCATCATACTGCACAAATGTCCCGCTAGGGTCCATGTGGAACAACTGAGGGCCTTTCTCATCAATACCTTAAACAGATAATTAGTAAATCTTTAATTTACTTTAGTCATATCATTTATAAATTTTAAAATATGCATATCATAATTATATCAACAGTATTCACATGACAGGATGGGAAGGGAAATAAATTTGACAGAGCGAATGTAAAGGAGGTGGATTTCCACCTCCTATGCATCATGAATATCCTATGCATAAAGAAACGTATTCATCTACCTTTTATGCTTTTTTTTTTCTTTACAGAGAGGCCTGCAAGGGTAAGGCTACATATCTGATATTTTGCATATCTATGGGCAGTTTTAGTGAATTCAGGTGACAACTTGCTCATTTATCACCTTACAATATAAAGAGATTGTAAGAAAAATGTAATCATATAGAATTTTTAATATTAGCAAAACTAAAATATTTAACAACTGTAACCTTTGGAACATAGAAATTAACATTTCTAAAAAGTAGCTGTCATCTGTAACTGTCCATATAATTTAAAAATAAAACAGTATTGTCGCCTATTAAGTTTCTAGACTCATATTTCACCGAGATATGTTAAGCCATTTTAAATACATAGCAAACTTCCATATGCATACTGATATTATAAAGGGGAATAATTTGTATTTTTGTATGTATTGGAATAACTCAAAAACTATTGGGCCGATTTCAAAAATTCTTTCACTATTAAAAAGCTACAATCAGTGAGCAGCATAGGCTATGCTTTCTATTATTTTTAATTTTATATTAGTAAGATGTATACCTGCAAACATAACAGCAACACCAAACGGTCTGGACATCGCAGTACCACTATCATCATCACTGTCACCAAACTGTATAGCCAGGTTGGACACCGCCTGAGCGCATGACTCCACGCTCATACGCTCATTGTACACAAACCAATGGTTCTGGCATTCCACACGAGCACGCTCAACTAGAGTCCTGGAAAACAGAAAACATATATTTGTGGATCTAATGCAGAAACCATGTCATATCAATTAAAAAATCATTTAGTTAAAGGATTAGACTTAGGGGCTGTCCCAGCACTGTCTGATAGCTTAAAAATGACATTAGTCAGGTATGTAAAAATACTGCATGTAACTGTTATTTCTATATTACCTGGAATCCGCCATCAATCCAGACACAGCGCAAGCAATATGACGATCCACTTCTACGATCTTTTCTATGGTAGTTGGTTCCATAAGTGGTGAAGTAATTCTTTTTTCGACAGCCAACACTACGCCTTCAGATGTACAAATACCAATGGCCGTGGAGCCAAGTTTTATGGCTTCAATAGCATATTCAACTTGGAAAAGCCTACCTTCTGGACTGAATGTGTTGACACCACGGTCATATTCTGATCGAGTCAGGAACATCTATAAGAAAACAATTTATACAGTGCCGGTAGGTCAGGTTAAGCAGTGTTTTGCTATTTATATACTTTAAAACAAGTATTGATTTTTAAATTAGAATTACGAAAATACTTACTGTTTAGTGATGTAAATTTGTTTTAGTTTTAAATAATTCTGAATGCAATACAAAAAAGCGAAGTGAGTAATCAAAATTGAAAGAAACTCCAACAAAAACGACAGATCACGAACCAATTTCATAGACTAAAAATATAAAATATTTATTGTAAGACATTCCGTTCCACAGGTTATAAAAATTAATTTTAAGCCCAAATCGGATCGGATTATGAAAAAGACAAGTTTAATAATATTAAAAACACAAATTGGGTGTCGGTAATCCCAAATTATGTTTTACATTAAGATTAAAAGTATTTTCAGGTATTTTAGTTCTAACTATATTACAAAGATACCAATAAATATTTTCTAATCTTAATTGTTTTAAAATGAGACCGCTATTACTGTGTGGATATATTAGTAACTGGTTCGTATTGCTTCGTGTTAAATGCAATTGCATTTGTCATATGTGTACCAAAACGCAGGATTACAGAAGTCTTTACTCAAGTAGTACAAAATCTAATATATTTACATGATCAATATTTAACCATCAAATTCAAAGTGAGTCATGTCAGTTTATTTTTTTGTTATTTTGACAAAAGTCTTTCATATACAAAATTAATATAAAAGTAAAGTAATAAGTTAAAAATGTTTGAAATGTATTCGTTTGGAAAATTGTAAAATACTGCAAGTTTGCATAACGGAAAATTTTACAGAACAACACTAAAAAAAATCTGATCGATTGAGAAATTCGCGCGCATTTTTGACTTTGTTTGCGCGGGAAAGAGAACTTTGCATCATTTACATTCCTAATCGATTGTTACAAAAGGCCTTTTTTTGGCAAGTAATCTTTTGCTAAGCATTTTATTATACGCTAGCGTGTCGCATCATATTATTGTTTGGTCGAATACGATCAGCGTTATCGGGTCGCGATTGAAATCGTCTGTATGATTTACCGTAACATACCTAGTTGTCCACATCATAAAAATCTGTGACAGCTAAAAAGGTTAAGAGAGTGGAAGCGGTATGTACTTTGTTTATTTACAATATTCTGATGTTTACGAGTGTTTTAGACAAATTTTAATTTTATTAGTTAAATTTCGTTTGACTAGAACACCCAGAATTTGAATATTCGATAAGTTTAATTAGGAATTATGATAAATTAATAAACGAAATAAGTTTTGATAACATGCCGCCCCTTTTTTCATAAATCTTTTCATGTAACAGAGATTGAGTTCACATTTTCAACGATTTTAAATTAACCCATGAAAAAATTATAAACGTAATATTTTTGTAAATTCATTGCGTTTTATTTACAATCTAAGAAATTAATAAATTCACTACATTTTCGACGCAAACATATGTAAATGATTTGGCAACAAAAATAACAGTTATAGTGAGATAAAGTAGAAATCGTTTGTTACTATTCCCATGTTTTTAAAAAATGACCATGACGTAGATACATTATTTTCTAATAATAACTGACCCCAATTGTGGAATTATGGTAATTACTAACCAATATCACTCGAGCCAAAGATGTACCTTTGTAACATTGTTTAAGTAATTAACACAAATTAGTCAGAGATGAGTCAATTGAGACAAGTGTTCACTTTTTTTATTTTATGTGAACCAAGGCCATACCATTACTTTGTTATAGCGTTAACAAACGTAGTTTTTAGATTAAATTCATGTTTAAAACTCAGTACAATACCTGCTAACATGCGGTAATAAAATATGCATTTAAAAAATAGTGTCTGAAGAATGGTTTTCCTATTTTTAACAGAATTGAATATTTTTTCCAGGTAACTCGATATTATTATCGAAAATAGAAAACGTCAGTATGAAAATAATTGGTGGAATCGATGATATTATAAAAAGAGATGAAGATTATTTAATTAAATACAAAACGGGAGAAACGGGGAAAGTATATATTATAAATAGTCACGTTTTCAGATATTATATGTCACCTAATGGAGAATTTATCGACTATCCAATACCAAACAATTCAGATGATATTGCAAAAATCACTGTTAAAGATATCTCCGATTACGACAAAGATTCGTTTAAGAAATCCTCTTTGAAAGTCGTTGATAAATATTATGAAATAGAATTAAATAAAGTTCAAATACATTTTGATAAGATAAATGGAAAAATGAGTGTGCTTGATAAAAGAACAAACAAAGAGGTATTAAAGGAATCTAGTCCTTTGTCTTATGATGACAATGTAACAGTACAGGAAGTATATCAAAAGAAAGACGAGTATTTCTTCGGAGGCGGGATGCAAAATGGACGTTTTACGCACAAAGGAAATGTAATACACATAGTTAATACAAATAACTGGGTAGATGGAGGAGTTACTTCTCCTTGTCCATTTTACTGGTCATCTTACGGATATGGCGTTTTAAGACATACTTGGCAACCCGGCGTCTACGACTTTGGATCTGAAACTCCTGATTCTATTAAAACTACCCATAAAACTGATCATTTTGACGCATTTTACTTTATTAACTCCGAACCATGTGATATACTTGGCGATTATTACGAATTAACGGGCATGCCGATCTTTATGCCAGAATATGCATTTTATGAGGCGCATTTGAACGCTTTCAATAGAGATTATTGGGTAAAAACAACACCAGAAACGCCTGGTGCAATATTATTCGAAGATGGAAATTACTACAAAAGCTATAAACCTAATGAAATGGGAGATAAAAAAGGAATACTGGAATCATTGAATGGAGAAAAGAACAATTATCAATTTTCAGCACGCGCAATGATCGATCGTTATAGAAGACATGATATGCCTTTAGGTTGGTTCATACCAAACGATGGTTACGGATCAGGGTACGGGCAAACAGATTCTTTAGACGGAGATATAGAGAATTTAAAAAAGTTCGTCGATTATGCCAGAGAAAAAGGCGTTGAAGTAGCTCTTTGGACTGAATCTAACTTACACCCATCTGATCCTTTACATCCCAAAAAAGGGGAAAGAGATTTAGGCAAGGAACTGAGTGTAGCGAAAGTAGTTGCTTTAAAATGCGACGTTGCTTGGATAGGATATGGCTACTCGTTCGGATTGAATGCAGTCGATGATGTTACTAAGATATTTGTATCGAAAACCAGCGTACGACCGATGATTATAATGGTAGACGGGTGGGCGGGTACACAACGCTACTCTGGTATTTGGAGTGGTGATCAAACTGGCGGTCAATGGGAATACATACGATTCCATATACCGACTTATATAGGATCTGGACTCTCTGGTCAACCGTTAATAGGATCCGATATGGATGGGATATACGGTGGCAAAGAAAGAGATGTGAATATTCGCGACTATCAATGGAAGACTTTTACACCCTTGCAATTAAACATGGACGGATGGGGACGCATTCCAAAGACACCATTTAGCTTCGATGACGAAGCTATCAGTATAAACAGAGCGTATTTAAAACTAAAATCAATGCTTTTGCCTTATAACTATACGATTGGTCACGAATCGATTAGAGGCTTGCCAATGATAAGAGCGATGTTTCTAGAATTTCCTAATGAAAGCCTTGCTTTTACCAAAGACTGTCAATATCAGTTTATGTGGGGACCAAATATCTTGGTAGCCCCGATTTATGAAGAAGGTTTCAATCGTGATGGTATTTACCTGCCTGATAAAAATCAAATATGGATAGATTTCTTTACTGGCGAAAAAATACAAGGCGGGAAAATCATTAACAATTTCGATACACCTATATGGAAAATCCCAGTGTTTATAAAAGATGGAGCTATAATACCAATGACAATGCCAAATAATAACCCTAAAGAAATAGATAGAAGTACGAGAATTTTCACCATATATCCAAATAAAGATTCAAAGTTTAATGTTTACGAAGACGATGGAATATCGAGTGAATATTTAAAGGGCCAATTTGCTACAACTGAAATTACTGTTAACGGACCCGCGTCAAACGAACTAGGGGATCTTCTAATAAGCGTAGAAAAGACAAAAGGTGATTATGAGAATATGATGAAAGAAAGAACGACAGTTCTTCAGATAATGGCTTCACAAGACGTTGAACATGTAAAATTAGCAATTAATGGCCAACCTCTCATTATATCAAAAGCACCAAGCTTCGATGAATTCCAAAAATCCATAAATGCCTTTTTCTTTAAAGAAGATTTTGATATTAATCCATACTTGACTAAATTTAATACCATACCACAAGCAGTTTTGTTAATAAAAATCGGCAATTTGGATGTAACATCCCACCATATACAGATAAAAGTGAAAGATTATGCCAGCATTAGTAAAGTGTTGGGTGAAAATTTAAACATAAATAATGATTTATCTACACCTGGTAATTTTGAAGTAAATAAAACAGCACCAAGTATTATAACCTTACAATGGTCGGGAATAGATACAGCATATTACGAAATAGAAAAAGATGGAATTCTATATAGCAATATAAGAAAAACAAAATTTACGTTCCAAGATTTAAAGTACAACACAGAGTATATATTCAGAATTCGTGCCATAAACGATTATGGCGTATCGGAGTTTAGTGATTTTATTAAAGTGACAACCTTAGACGATCCATACAAAAACGTTATTAAAGGAGTCAAAGTGAAATGTAACATTCCTTGTCAACCTTGTCAGGAAATATGCAATCTAACTGATGGTGCTTTAACTTCACTATGGCACACACATTGGCACAAACCTATACAGAAGTGCAATTTAAAAGATTTAAAATTGAATTTTGATTTAGGAAATGTTCATCATTT